GCCACTTCTGGCATATGGGGCTAGCACCTTACTCCTTTGAGCCACAGGTGCCACCCTGAGAAAGAATTCTTACATAAGAAAAACCTCCAGAGCTCAGCTCCTGTAGCTCAGCGGTTAGGGAGCCAGCCACATACACCAAAGCTAGCAGGTTCAAATCCAGCCCGGGTCCGCCAAACAATGACAACCAACAAAAAATAGCCAGGGCTTGTGGCAGGCACCTGTAGTCCCAGCTATTTGGGAGGCTGAGGCAAAAGAATCGCTTGAGCCGGAGAGTTTGAGGTTGCTGTGAGCAATAACATTATAGCACTGAACCCCAGGATGACTGAGTGAGACTCTGTCTCAAAAAAAAATACATGGAATGTTTGGCAAGGCAACAGTTAACACTAGTAAATTATCCAGGCAATATGTGTATCATTATTGTTAAATAATAATACTGTCAACTTCTGCTGTATCAACTTCAGCTAGGTCATTTATTTTAAAACCGAAAGTTAATATTTTTATTTAGGAAAGAAAAAAAGGAATAACCTAAGATTGGCCTTCATACTGCCATGAGCTGTGATGCCACAGCACTCTACCCAGGGTAGCTTAAGACTCGGTCTCAAAAAAACAAAAGATTGACCATCATAGAATAAGATACGTGTCTTCTTCTTTTCTTTTCTTTTCTTTTTTTTTTTTGAGACAGAGTTTCACTTTGTTGCCCTGGAGAGTGCCATTCAGTTATAGCTCACAGCAACCTCAAACTCCTGGGCTCAAGCAATTTACATGCCTCAGCCTCCTGAGTAGCTGGGATTACAGGCGCCCACCATAATGCCTGGCTGATTTTTAGAGTCAAGGGTCTTGATCTTTCTCAGGCTGGTCTTGAACTCATGAGTTCAAGCAATCCACCTGCCTTGCCATCCCAGAGTGCTAGGGTTACAGGCATGAGCCACAGGGGTGGGCCGAAGCTACATATCTTTTACATAATACTATCAACTTTTAGAATTGGATAATAAGAAAAAGATCTTCAATATTATGATGAATTGACAACATGACAATAGATGTCAAATTTAGGTTTGCATAAAAGTATGTGTTTACAGTTCATTTCAGTATTGATCTTATTTAAACATATGTGAAATAGGCCTAGATAATATACTTTTCAATAATTTTGATATTTTTTCATAAATATTTAGATAAAAAGAGAAAGAAAATTCATCTACTTTTGCCAGTTCAGGGTGAGACTGTCCATAATTTTAACTATTCCTTTCCTCCCAAGTCACATGTATTTTTGTTAGGACTAAATATATCACAATCTTGGCAGTTCCCTTGCTTGTGTTCTCCTCATTCTGAGTTTGAATTTTCTGCTTGACTGAATTCACCTCTAAACTATGAAAAATAAGTTTCTCACTATTTAATAGATTATGTATGATACTGTACCACTCAAATGATATATGCTTTTATAAGGGGCTCTAGACTCATTCAGGGTTATGCTAGCAGTGGACTTCCTTAAATGTGATTACTGAAAGCATGGCAATTCATATTGTAATCTTAATTTTAAGAAATAAATAAGGAGAATGGTCACTTAAAGCTCCTGCTGTGTTGTTCAGCCCTGCTTCTCCACTTCAAGATACAAAATGGCTCGCCTGTCAAAAGGTCCCCTCAATATCTATTTCTTTTTTTTTCTTTAGTCTTTTTTTTTCTTTCAGATTATTAT